GCATGGATGACCATCTCCAATGAAGCCTCTGTGTTGTAACCTCAAAGAGCCGTTATGGCAGCATGGAGATCTCACTAGAAAGGCTGCCTAATAAGAAAAAGAAATATACCTATATACAGCGGCAAACTAGCTATACTTAGAGTTAACTGCTGGATTTCTATGATCACTTTCAGACCTACTCTGGGCTGTTCTGTGCCACTGTGAACCCCTATAGTGGCTCCAGTGTACGATCAGGAAATTTGTAAATGCCTATAGAGGCAAGAAGCGTATGGAGGCTCCACCCCCAACATCTTCTCTGTCTCTGACAACGCTTTTCAGTTCATGCTTACTGGTAAGTTGTTACCATAACAATGTTAAATTAATCAGTATATGAGGTTTCTGCTTAGTAAAAAAATGTTTTTGTTTTTTCCCCAATTGAACAGATAGGGAGAACCAGTCTGTCTTGATCACGTAAGTTTCACATTTGTTGACTTTGGCTGAACATAATCTAATATGAATAAAATTCTTACAAGTCTGTGTCTATACCTAGTGGAGAATCTGGTGCTGGAAAGACTGTGAACACCCCAAGCGTGTCATCCGTATTTCGCAACAATCTCAGTTGGTGGAGACAAGAAGAGGGACACATCAAAAGGTTTGTTACTGTATGATGATTACAAATTCAGTGTTCTTTAAGTATGGAATACATACATTCATTTTCTGACATCAATTTTAAACCTGGATTATGGGGTCACTGGAGGATCAGATTTTGCAGCCAATCCTCTGTTGGAGGCCTATGGTAACGCCAAAACTGTGAGGAAATGACAACTCTTCTCGTTTTGTAAGTATGGAAGGATTTCTACTCCATGAGATGTGTTGTTACACATTGCCCATTATGGGACATTAAAAATTCATGTTCCAAACAGGGTAAATTCATCAGAATCCATTTCGGCAGGCACTGGCAACCTGCTAGTGGCTGTTATATTGGACATGTAAGTAACAGGTCTCATAGTACCATAGCAAATAGTTGGAATTGAGGATAGACATGTCTCGACTTTTAACAACTTCTGTAGATCGCCTGGAGAGTCTAGAGTAAACATGTCCGAAGCTTCCTGAACATGGCCATGTCCTCAATCTTGTCAAACTTTGGAGGGTTCATTGGAGAGACGTCATCTTCTTTAACTGTCCTCTCCTGGAACAGGACATTTGTCACATTGGGGGCTGATCGTATTGAATCCCAGTTTACTTTGATTTAGTGATACTAACCTCCTCCGTGTCCAGGACTTTGACAGTGACTATTTCTTGATGATTGTTCCCTTCAAGTACAGCTCCTTGGCATCGGCCACGTAGCAGGCAGCCTTGGCATCAAAGGGTTTGCTTTGAGCCTCAATTCTCTCCCTCTCTGGCTTACGGAGGTATATGGCAGCTTTGCCATAAACGGCCATCTCCGCGTCTGTACTCATGGTTGCAGCTTATGTCTGTTAGATAAGCACAGAGGAACTGTCATATTAGACTTAAGTTTATGTAATTAAACAGCACTTGAACTTGAGCAAACTGACACCACTCATGCAGTTTAGTTTTGTCAAAACCTTTGGATGAATAAATTTAAATAAAATTCTGAGAAATATTAAATGCAAATGTATTATACAAGAAAAGTTCAAATTTTAAAGTTGTCATTACCTGACCCCCTCTCTGCCAACAGTATTCACCAGTCCTGTTCAAAACAGTTTATGTTATATGTAGATTTAAAAAGACAAGATTTATTTAACATCATTAACATTATTTCATAAATGAAAGACATTCAAGTTTTCTAAAGCACAAGAGAACACAGCTTTACCACAAGCAGGAACTCCCAGGTCTTCTGTCACACCCTTCCACATTTCCAAGAGGACCTCTTTATATTGAACTGGATTTTGCTGACATAGTAAAGTTAAATATGGAATACACACCAAATGTGGTAAGCCAGGCAGTGATAGAAGATAGCCTATAAAACATATGTTGCAAATATAACCAGTATTTAATTTTTGCTTAATCAGCACTTCAATTAAATTTATTTTTGGGCTCATGTTCATTTAACAGGATGTACACTAATAAAATCATTGTTCTATTTTCCTCAATTGTCAGTTTATTTGGTTAAATCATAATTAATAAAATAATAAAAAATATATTTGATTGTTTAATGTGTCTGTTTCACTAATATTATATACAGTTTTGTAATTGTTTTTACAGTGTATGTTGTATAATTGTGAAGTATATTTCTTGGATGACAATCAAGTAATTTTGGATTTTCTTATTATTATTTAATTATTAGAAATTAAAGAACAGTTTAGAATTAAATTAATGTACTTATCTGAAGCTAAACTGACTTCACTCCCAAGTGTTAACACCGTACCTGTCTCTGTCAAATCACTATCATGTCTGACTTTTACATTACTAAATTTGAAATGTGAAATTTATTCTACATAAGACTGTACTACAACTGTTACTATTTTTTCATAATTTATGTATTTGCTTCATGTTGTCCATTTTGTCTCTGATGCGAGTGTGTTCAGTGTGCTCCAGTCCCCTTTTTTCCCTTGGAAACGTTGTGTTTTTATTGAAATTTAACATTTTCCCAAAAATATCTGAATAGAATAGAATTTATCATGCATTGTAAAAAAGTAATTTCTTCATGAGTTTGTCATAGAAAAAGAAGTTATTTCCCATAAAACATTTATTCACCACAACTTAAAAGCAATACAAGAACATGTAGTATAGATCAAATGTGGTAGAAACAAAAAAAAACATTTTAAACGGTACTTATCTCAGAATAAAATATGAATAATGATAAAACAATGTGGACCAAGATTATTCCTTGTACAATGTATACTAATGTTTAACTGAGAAAAATAAAATCTGACGATTGAATGTTTTTTATCCATTATGAACTTGAACCAGTACTGCCTTCCATTTATTATAGGAATGATTACTATTAAATAATATTTATATTGTGACAAATTTGTTTATTTTACTGGTAAATGTGTTTCTGCCTTTCAATTTTGTCGCAGCATGAAGTCATAGCGCTACACACGTACATCAAGAAAGTGATATAGAGACATAAATTCATCAGTTCCTCCTTATCTGAGAGAAGAACAGTGATCTAAGATTGTGGCAGTTAATTATTCTCTGAAAGGTTAGCATGTGCTTTATTTAAAACATTTCTATACTACAGATAAAATTCCTCTCTGACAACTTCTTCCACTCTTCACAAAAGTGAGCACTCACTGTGATTCTGGGATGGCAGATTTAATTGAACTATCAAAGTGTTGTCTGTGGCTTCAAAAAGTCCTTATAATCAAGAATCTGTCTTAAAATAATCCACCTATTCATTCATAGTCATGCTAATTATTCACATGGAGATTACAGTGACATAAGTGAAACCTTTTTCCTTCTCCTCAAACAGTTCCTACAACTTCTGAGAGATCCAGAAGAACTCCCAGGCCCTCTTGATAGTGTTCCTCTAAGATGTCATGGCTCTCCTTTCTGTTCTCGGGATCTATAAATGGTTTCATATTGGGGTACACTTAATTGTTCCTACCACATACCTCAAGTGTTATGGATGGTAACATTGTGGATACATTTTTGACATTTTTGGTCATTGTTCACTTGAACAATATATATATATATTTACACATACATAAACATAAAAAATGGATAGTTTATGTTGTAGCCACCACTTGTAATGAAGATTATAAAATTGTGTTTAGCTGTGTCGCAAATGATCCACATTTACATATCACATTAGTACATGGGATTTATTGTTTTGTTTTTTACCATTGTATCAAATTGGGTATTTAGAATCATGAAATTCCACTGGCACTGGTATCAACTACTACATTTCTGGTGTTGTGACATCCCTAGTCACAAATGATCCCAATGGGATTAAAATAACACAGAAAGCAAATTAAGATAAACAACTATTTTATTGTGGTATATTTCACATCATATTATATGATTGGAAACAGCCCATCAGCCGGAGTGCTTTACTCAGCCGCCTCTTTTCCCTGTAGAAAAATAGGATAATCAATACATACCTTACATATGTGCATACATACACCATTTTTAAAGGTTATACATATAACTCTGCTCTGTCAATGCTGCTGCTGCTGCCCTCCACCAGTATTGCTGCCTGCTGCGCTGTAAGTCCCACCACCACCCCAGCATCTATCTGTAGGCTCCGGCTAGGGGGGTTTAAGGTATTTTAGATACAGATACGCGTACATAGAGATATTGGGTAGTGATGACAAAATACCTTAAACCCCCCCTAGTCAGAGCCTAGACTCAAAAATCTACCGATGCTATATTGCTGTCATACACATTTCAAACATGAGTTGTTTGACTGAAATATATTTAGCTTGCCTTACCTCTATCTTAAACTTTATGAAGCTAAAATAAATCTTTGTTGTCATTGTATTGCGTGTGTATATGTATGCAAATATAAAAGTGGGATGTGTATTTACCTTGCCAGAGTCACGGCTCTTTGCTCTCAGTTTGTTGACCTGGGACTCTGCAATGTCAGCACGCTCCTCAGCCTCCTCCAGTTCATTCTGGACCTTTCTGCACTTGGACAGGTGAACGTTGGCTTGCTCCTCCTGAAATACAAAACACAGAAACATTTTAAAATGTTCAAAAAGGTCTTCTGTGGATAAAACAACTGTGACCTTATTATGTTTCCAATGTATATGATAAGTCCTTACCGCTTCCTCAGCCTGCCTCTTGTAGGCCTTCACTTTGAGCTGCAGTTTGTCAACCAGATCCTGCAGCCTGGTAACATTTTTCTTGTCCTCTTCAGTCTGTAAAAGAAAATATGTATTTGCTTGGTAAGTATGTTAGATTGATCTGTACAGTACATGTAAAATCTTAATGTAGTTGTACCTGATAGGTGAGCTCCTTCACCCTCCTCCTCACTATTTGCGGACACCCTTAACAGCATCTGCTCCACTCTCTGCCAGCCCTCCAACCTCTGACCCCTACCAGCTCACGGCAACACCTTTAGAAAACAAGAACCATTTATATAAATATATATGAAAATGTTTGTTTTGTGTATGTTTTCTTACATTTGTTCAACTCTAATTTTAACAGAATTGTCATGGGGTTACCCTAGATACTCAAGTTTCTGGAGCTGTTCTTGCCACCCTTCATGCGCAGGTGTCTCAGCCCTCATCCAGGCGGTGCTGCCCAAGTCCTATAAACTGTAACCCTCCCAGGGTTCTTCTTTCATCCTCTCCAGCCCTGTGAGAGAGCTAGTAATCCTGCTCCTTGCTTCAGTCTCCTCCAATGCGCAATCATGCCAGCCTAGACGGAAACGGGCATTAAAATGGTGTAATTAGACACGAATATATTAATCTCTC